ACATATGTGCTCAAATATAACACTTTAACTGTTTAAAACGAGTTATATATTAGTTAATTCATTTAGAAATTATTTTAACTATGGCCCGAAGTTTCAGATGCTATAAATTACAGACAGTATTTTGTTATATGCTATTAATCAGTGTATCGTTGGTCTAGCGGTCTGCAGACCGCGAGGTCCCTAGTTTGACTCCTGGCTCGGGCGTTATGTCTATAACTTCGGCATTTGGGTTCTCTTCAAAAAAATTCTAGTATCAGTTCGGAGTTTGAAAGTAAGAGATGCCAACACCCCAGTGCCACATTAGTCCGTCGGTCCAGCAGTTTTCACTATTAAGTCAGTGGCGGTAGTCGAAAAAACCGCCAACACTATCTCAGCGTGGTGGGTCTAAGCTCCTAAAAGTCGTATGCGAGAGGAGATGTGAACCCAACAGTGGGACATTAATGGGTTAAGGTGAAAGTTGTATTAAATATTTAGAAGCATGTTTATATAACAACAGTAATACATTTTAATTAAATGTATGTGGAGGGACACCATTGGCTTTTGCTCCACCAGGAAGTAAGCTAATGTCTAGTGATGCCCCACATTTAAAGTAGAACAGAACATATCGTTTACTCCTACCATCATAAACTTTCGAATTTGTCTGATAGTCCAAAAAAGTATTCCAATAAAATTTGTAATCAATTCTCTCAATTCACTGACTGTGTTGACTGTAATCAAGAAGATACTAAGATAAGATATAAACTCAATTAAAGCTTTCTCGTTTGCAACAATGACATTTAGCAACGGGAAACGGATTTTACGGAAGCGGTTCACACGTTGTGACGTAACAATTAACCATTCCACTTTTAAGGCCAAAATAATGACCTAATCGTACAATAATTTAAAAAACACTAAATATACATTCTCGTGTTAGAATGTTTGTGCGCAAACTTTTCCAAAACGGCTAAATTGATTTTAATGATATTGTCCTATGTTTTTTGTATATGGTTTGGGAATGACTGTTTGTCTATATATTTTAATTCTTTTATTTATATATTACCTTACATAAACCCACTCACAATTAATTAGTTACTTTTTCTACCAAAAATTAATTTTTTGTTATAATTGTTATGGCTAACAACTGAAACTTTGCTTTGTTTTCAGTTAGTTCTAATATATATTTAACTAGCTGTGCCCGCAACTTCGTCCGCGTGGAATAGTCATTCCTTAATACTTATTTTTTGGTTTCTTGAACCGTTTTTGTAGCGGCCGCAATGGAAGCCCGAAAAATGATTTTCCCCGTTTTTCCACATTTACTCTATTTCTTCGCTATTGGTCGCAGCCTAATGTTTTATATCCTAAAGCCTTCACTAATAATAACTCAACCAAACTAACAAAAAAAATATAGTAGAATTTCAGTTATGGATATTAGTACCATAGTAGGGTAGTCTACCCTACCATTTTGTCTATATTTAAGAACCGGGTCCGCAACATACTATTTTTTTTGATAGCCTTTAGTTTAACAATCATAAGTATGATCTATACTTGTATAGTTAGCCAAGCGCATATATTACAGCAGATATTTGCTGCCAACGTAACGTCAGTGTCTACTTGAAAAAAGTTGAGTTGCAAACCGTCAAAAATGTTTATTTAATTGTTTGTCTAGTTAGGTGTTTGTTTAAATGCACACGTACAATGCGTACATTTTGAGAAAATTTCCTTTATTATTTACAATGATCAAAGTAAAAGTAACGCAAAGGTCACATTACTTCCGAAGCAAACGGGAATGGAAATACAGTTCTATTTTCGTCTCCAATTCAATCTCATCCTGTTATTTATGAGCGATGAAATTTGGAAAGCGAATGAAACGAACGATTTTCTTGTTTTCCTTGATTGAAATTGGTGGTATAAAAGTACTTGGAATTGGTTTTACTAATTATGAGACCTATATACTTGCGCAAAGAGGCAAATACACTTGGAAGTTTTCAATAATTTTTTCACGTGTTATATAAATGAAAACTCTATTTCAGGATTTGTGATTTCAATGATTTCTTAAGACGTGTTAATTTCAATGATTTGCTTAAGACGATAGCTGAATTAGTTAGATCAGCGGTACTGAACCCCGTGGATGCCTCGGTTCAATTTCTCTTTTGTTAATGTCGTAATTTTTAATTTAGACAAAACGTGGCTCTAGAAGCGTTCTGTAATTGTTTATATCTATAATAGAATATTTACTTACTCCCCATGTGACCACAGCGTTCGCGATAATCTGTATCACGTTGTACCATTTGATAACTGTTCGTAGTTCGTACGGGCGCCTATTGGTCATGTATCTTGGCATTACCAGCCGTATCAGCGTCAAGTAGATACTTATTATGAAGATGAGGGGCCACGGTGATCTCATCAACAACCAGTCTTTGACGCGAGGATCTGGGAAATAATGAAAGAAAGAAATAAATAGCAGTGAAAAAGCAGTTGGAATTGTGAATAAAAGTGGGAAAAATTATTCGTCTTTGTGGGTTTCCATTGCGTGCGCTGGGAAACGGTTCAAGATACCATAATGTATGGCTAATAAGCAACAGTTCGTGACTTCGATCCCCACCAGGTCTAACATATTTCTAATAAATTTCTCTTTTTTTCTGAAACACGTTGGACTTTGTTTCAAAATCTCGACGAAAGTTTTAGTTTGCGTTAGCCTCACTCTCCGCTGAACTTCTTTTGCTCTCTTGAGCCTCAACTTATCAAGCTTTGCCCCTCGGTATGCCGGTCCACAATTAATGGCATGGCCAACGCTCCGGTTCGCGTGAATGCACATTCGTGCAAAGATTTGAGTTTCAAAACGTGATGTCCGCTACAATGGCTTAGCGGGTCAGATTACGAGAGTACTAAAGTAGTAAAAAAGTTGTTCGTAATTTGATAAGAAATATCGTTATGTAAATAAGCAAACGTTATTATCTCCTTTTAATAGCAGTAACAAAATATTGGATTATTTTTATCGTTTTCAACTGAATGGTTGAATGAATTACGGTACTCTAATCTCGATAGTAATTTAAGGGGGGGAAATTCTTTACATAGTAATAAAATTATTTAACCGTACGTGTATGGCGCATAATGTTTGCGTTTTGTACCGTTTCTTCAACGATATTGGTTATCTGCTGCAGCCTACACTCAATGTTTTAGAACTTTAGATCGTGGGGAATCCCCTATATTTTTTTTATAATAATGAATACGGAAATCAGCGACGACATATCCAAGCTGCGTGGGCGCATTGTCACGGTTATTAGATTAATTACCTGCTCTTTCATAGAACAATGTGTTGTAAGCTCTCGCTATCACTTCCATTGTGTAACACAACACTGACCAATACAATGCCCAACGGGCGACGTTGAATATTGATCGTGTATGCAGATTAAATTTAAGCCGAAGCACACGATCTGGTCGGCCAATTGAAAACCTCGTGCTATTTAAATAAACCACTTTAACGGTTATAACGCCGAAATATACAGCTGGTATTTAGCGAGACATACGATGGCGCTAGTAGTTTTTACTTTGACATTACAGACTCTCTTCATCATTAGTCTCTTCATCATTAGTCTCCCCGTGACCACGGCTGCTGCAAAGCATCCTAAACGTCGGGCCGTAGTTAAAATCATTTTCAAATCAGCTTAACTAATATATCTCACGTTTTCACCGTTTTACTTAATTCACAGTGTTTTATTTAATTGTGTCCTACTCGCGTAAACTATAGACAGTAGTCAACCTCGTGTTAGAATAGCTATAAAATGTATTTTTTTGTCATCTTGGCCTGGCCAAGCGAAGGCATCTCAAACGTTTTTAAGCTACATCGTTTACCCAGGTCTCCGTCGATCCGCTGCTGTCCAGTTGTTTGCGCTGTTCTCTCTCCTCCTTGCAGCAACATATTACAGCATACCTTGTCTAACAAGCTCTATTATTTGACGAAATAGTACAGACAGTGTTGCAAGTTTTATAATAGTAATTAAATATTTTTTTTACCACTCGACTTCGTTCGCGAGAATCGTTATTTTTTACAAATCTTTATGAACTTAAGCCCCACCCTTTATGAATTTATCCCACGTCTGCCGCAACCGTTCCCATCGTTCTTGCAGCTAGTTAATCTTAAGAAATAGACATATAGTGTCGCGCTTTTTTTAGATCATTTAAAAAGCAATTATTCGTTTATAGATAAAGTTTTGGGTATCTTGAAGCGTTTTTGCAGCACGTACGCCTCAGTGATCCATAATGATGAGTTTTTCCAATTTTTTTTTTTCACACTTCCCGCTGTATCTTCGCTTTTTATTAGTCACAGGCGATGTTTTATAGCCTATAGCATTGCTTTATAACACCGACCTATAAACTAACAAAAAACAAAAATAATTTTTTGGTTCGAACCTGTAGTTCCCGAGATTAGCGTTGAAACTTACAAACAAACTCTTCAGCTTCAGCCGTTGCCTTTGCTTATTAAGTTTTTATGTGTATAACAAGTGTATAGCTGCAAATATATTAAAAAGATCAAGGTAGGATCGTGGTCACACGCACACAACTATTAATTACGTATATACATAACACATGTATAAAAATAGACTTCCAAAAACATTATCCTTCCTCAGCCAAGTGTCCGTAACACGTGTGACCGCATCCGTAGATATCAATGTTTTATTCATAATTATATTTGATTATGCATTCAATGCATTCGGACCTTGTAACTTGGGCCTAACTTTGGTGTGTAAAAGTTATGTAGAGTTGAAGTTTTGTTATGTTAGAAAACTATAATTTTTATCACATATTATTGCATTATATAAAATACAAATAAATTTTACGACACGGGCGGGACTTGAACAGGCATCCTCAGAGTTCCGTACAATTGAGCTACCGTGTCAATTATAACCAATTATAATTCGAGCACACTTTGAGCTGGCGAGACATAAGATACAAAAAAATTACCTTATTGTAGCTTATTTGAGCTATGCATATTTCAAATGTTTTGCTCTATATATTTTCAGTCAAAAGAGAAAATGACGCGCGGCGTTCGTCGCGGTTGCGTGCGTCTTCGCGCGGCCGTCATCGGGATAGATGATGAAGACGACTCCACATTCACCATCACCGTTGACCACAAGACCTTCCACTTTCAGGTGAGCAAATGAGATGCTAGTGTTTTGCTGATAGAATTACAAATTTTACGACTGGCTCCTTGTTACAATGGTAGCAATGTACATAGGTATTAAATATTTGCAAGTTGAGTAGTACACTTAAATAAAACACTACTTCAACGGGTTATATTTTAGTTAAACTTTTTTTGAGAATTGTTTTTAACTACGGCCCGACGAATCGGATGCTTTGCAGCAGCCTGTGGTCACGGGGAGTCTCAAAAAAATTTAACTAAAATATATCGTGTTTTAAACGTTGAAGTGTTTTAATTTAAATATTGTAAAGGTAGTGTTCATTTCAATTTTTTTTTAAGTCAATTTATAATTTTTCTGAAATATATTACACCTTCCGGCTTGTTTTCCTATTTCCACGAAGCCGGGTGCAAACAACCATCGCAGATGAAAAAACCTTGTAGTATAATTTAATAAAACAAAAGAAGACCGATATCCGCGCTCCCTATTTAAATGTTATATATGTCTTGCGTTTTATTATACTACAGCTTGTAAAATTTTAATCACACTTGAGTGAGCACAGAATTGAGACCGCTAGAAGCAGAGTAGCCATACAAGACCGAACAAGTGCACAGTGACCGAAAATTGTTAACGTGATCCTTACCCAAATAATACTTAGTACAAATTCATTGACGCCCAAGTTAATTGCGCATTTTTTTCCTCCCTATTGTAAATCATGTTTTTTCTTATTAGGCCACTCTGCCTCTAGCAGACTCAATTTATACTTTCAGCTATGAAGATGAGACCCATTCTCTTAAACCTTTCACACTAGACATTAACGACATCCAAAAAAGTATTTTACTGATTCTCGGGTGGTCTTCAAAGTCGACCTCAATTATGTAATTAAAAAAATGGATTACAAATGATTTCTAAGATTCTTTAATGTTTAAAGGGAATAAACGGTCTGAACATTTTATTGGCTCAAGTAAAGCACCACGTCGAATTGCCGAAGCCATTCAAGGAATGTGGGCGTCTCTTGACCAGTTCATGAGTCATCTCATCTCCTTTCTCTCGGATGTCCGTCTTAACAGAAACATAAAATTCGTGTAATGAATACTAATTTAGCTATAAGACGTCAGTGGAGTACAGTCGGTCTGAAAAGTGTGATAAATTCTCATTTTTATTAAATTTCTGATATATATTCTTCATTGTGCATAAAATATATTTTCATTTGCCCTAGCACACACAAGGATTAAAACTGTCTATAGTTACGAGTAGTACTAAAAACTTTAACGGTTTAAAACGAATATTAGTTAAACTATTTGAAAATGATTTTTAACTAATATATCGCGTTTTAAACCGTTAAATGTTTTTTAAACACACAAGGATTCCCTGTGTCGTGGGTGGCCAATCCCATCCGAATCCACAATAAAATTGACTATATACTAAGTTCAAAGAATGGATTATATAGCATACATTTTATATTATCTATCGACAAGATGACTTTCTGTTTAAAAATAATTTAAATTTATGCTTTTCATTTGAGTAGATGTAAATGGGGTGACTATATTTTATTTATAAATAAATTAAAGAATTTGTGTTAGTATTGTATAATTGTTGTTATTTACGACCTTTTCTCTCTTGCTGATTTTCTAGAGAACCGATATAGTTTAATGGAAATAATAAAAAAGGCAATAATAATCATTTGGGAGTTCTAAAATAAATATCCCAAACCCTGGTTAATTTTATGATTAAGTAAATAATTGTACGTAGTTCCATAGTCAAACATCGTTGATCTTAGAGATCTTGGAGTCAAATTTCTGTCGAGCTGGGCACAGAAGTCTGTAATCTTTAGTGCATGTAGTAAGTCTGTATGCAGTAGTAGTCAGTCTTCTGTCCATTGCCCCACCAATCTATTATTTGCCCGGGACTCGAACCCAGAACATCTGGCGCCTAACGAAACGTTTTTCTATTTAGCTGCAGAGTAGTCTATGTGTAATTATTGTTTAATATGTTTTATATTTAATATTACAATTTATTGAAGTGACTATTAATATAAAACATAGTTTTGGAGTTGTCTGTACAATTTTGTACGGTCAATAAATTTTAATTGTTCTCTGCTGTTGTGTTCGCTCTTGTAACTAATTACACATTAGCTACGCTAATTGTGTTCATGATATTTAGAAAGCATTTCTGATAAGCGATATTTGTGTTTGTTTACTGATACTAACTACAAATAGAATTGTTCTTTAAGCCATAGGAGGACTACACCCCCACAACCCCCCCCCCCATGATGCACTGTTGACCTATTGTAGCTTTGTACTTTCGAAAATCCACAGATTATATCTATAATGCAAATGGGTACTTCACGGCTTTTTCATCTGTGAACCTAACCTAACCTAACCCGGACGGAATAAGAAAGGACGGACCCGGTCATTATTAGCTATTGCCACGATTGAACCAATGAGCCCGTCATAGTGCACGTCTTTCACGTCGTCACTATCTAAAACATAACCTTTCTTATCAGTCAATTGAATTATCAATGACAATATTGAAACATCAGACAGATAAATTGCCTAAGTAGGTAGTAAATACTTATCAACTGCTTCTTTGGTCTAACAGTGTTTTCCAAAGTAGACGATAGCCCTACCCCTCTTCCCTAGTGGGCAAGCGTTCCAGGAGGGTGGTGATGTAATCACCATTAAGACTTCAACACCATTGCAGCTAAAAATTTATATAAAAGATTACCTTTTGTGTACACTGGGCATGAGTTTCTTTTTATTAAAACTCGACTATTGCTATCTGCCTATTTTGGTTTTGTATATTCGAAAATCCATAGGCTAAAACCGAAACGCGATTAAATTTGACAGCCATATCATCTGTGGACCGTACCACCTATTTAATATCCAGATTTCTAGACGAAGACCAACATGTTTCTGCAAAATTATTGTATGTTGGTGTCTGTGTATGTTGGTTAAATGTTTCCTTTCTACCTCCAGGCGAGAGACGGTTCAGAACGCGAACGCTGGGTCCGCGCGCTCGAGGACACGATAGCGCGGCACGGTCGCCGCGAGCGATGGTCGCGTTGCGTGCCTGCGCCTGCGCACCGCCACGGCGACCTCGAGAGGCGCATCTCGGAGGCGGATGCCTATCTGCAAATCATGATCGAGCTAGTCAATGTTAGTTTTTTATAATGGAGAAGAACGAAGTATGGGATTCACTTCTATTGTATTCACAAGAATTGTACATTTAAATGACAATAAAATGTATCAGAAATATTCGATATACATAGAAAAAGTTGTTTAATACAGGTCTAAATATTGATCTGCGAATTATACAGAATTTGATTGTTCAGTGTTCGAGATAACTTAAAAACGAATGTCTTGTGAATACAGTCTGTGTATGGAGCTATGTGTTTTCAAAGAGTTATACATGAGTAGAGTCGAACCCTCTACTGATCTATACTATCGTGAATTACTAATTTTATTCTTCGATATACTGTGCATAAACTTTTTGAAATACTGTTTTTTTTTTTCAGAAATTAAACATAAAAGTATCAGATCTGACGGATCCACACGAAAAGAGTAGGGGTCAAGTTATATTGGACCATTCTAACGTGAGTAACTTATTCATTTAAGCTTAGAGTAACAATATCTCCTAAGCCTATTTAAAAGCATTTTAATCTACTATAAACGCGAAATGATGTGTGAATAGCACATCATAGTTCTTCTGGCTGCTCGGCCGATGTAAGCGAGAAGAAGTTCTCGACGTTCCGCCATCACGGGCGAGGATCAGGAGATGTTGTTAGCTTTTCGATTGCTCGAAGAATTAATTTAATTAGTGCGTGAAAGCCTTACACAGTTTATTATGTTTAGATAATTATGACGCAGAAATGTCATATGCATATAAATAAGGAAATACTAAACATATTACTTAGATTTAGTTTTTTATTTCAAAAACGCATAAATCCGCGTAGTATTTTATATTTTTTTATTGATGGAGATGTAATTATTTGAAAATTCTTTTTATTTCAGGCAATGCTCGACAACATCAAACATTCCATAGTACTACTTCAAATTGCAAAGGTAACATATAATATTCTGTAGATAAGCTAAAATGATCCTTAGTAACTAAGAAAATAAGTTGCAATCACTTTGTGCGCAGAATAAGAAGACATTCTATTGGCAGTCCTTACATCGCGACTTCGATTCCTTTTGGCTAAATTTTGTGTGCAGGTACTTGATTGCGTAAATTAAAAGTAATTCTTAAATTACCGGGATGTGAACCTACGTCACCGCGTTGCTCTAATATGTCGCGATTTTTTTTTCAAAAACGTTGAGGTAAGCATAAGGTTTTATGTGTGAAAAGTAACGATACTGATTGTGACTTATTTTTAAGATATAAGGCCCATATACACCAAGCGGTTTACAGTCCGTCTAATCAACGGTTTAATGGTAGCTGCGTATCAGTACGTAACTTTTATTACGATTATTATTCGATTATAGTAAACTGTTTGAATAAAACACTCTAACGGTTTAAAACGCGATATATTAGTTAAACTTATTTGAAAATGATTTTTAACTTCGGCCCGACGTTTCGGATGCTTTGCAGCAGCCGTGGTCACGGGGAGACGGGTCATTTTCAAATAAGTTTAACTAATATATCGCGTTTTAAACCGTTAAAGTATTTTATTTAAATGTGTACTACTCGCGTAAACTATAGACAGTATTTAGGTCAAGATTAATTAAATACAATTACTAATATGATAGTAATGACTATGGTCTACAGATGAAGTGAATAGCCAAAGCCAAAAAAGGTCGACTGTGTATCGTGCTATATATACGGCTAGGTTATTTCACCTTCCTTCAATTGGATCCCATGCTTGTCTGTTTTCCTCTATAATAATGAAATATGTGCTTTTATTTAACGATTATTGTTTTTACAGAACACAGTAAACCCAGTCAATGGTGTTTACCAGGGACCAACGAACCCCTCTCAGGCGCATATCAAAGAAGGTTAGTAACTTAGTAAATACGTCGTGGGTTCGATTCTTACAGAGAATTTATGTTAAACATCAATTTATCTGATTCTATGGTTCCTGAATATTTAAACCCGTAAAAGGTTGATAGCGCATCTTATTGAGCTGTGTAATTAAAAGGTCGTTTGAATATTAACATTCCATCCGTGGTACAACCCTGAAATACAATCGCGTTTCGGTATCAGTCTGTGGATTTCAAATGTTTGAAGCCAAAATAGGATAGTTTCCAGAATCTTTGGCTATGGTATTTGATCTATATGATATGGCACGATATGCTTGTCTATTCTTTAAAACTTTCCTAAAATTAAAAGGTTTAACATTTGACAGAGAAGAATTGTAAGGTTATAATTGATTTGGATTGCAACAGACTTATCACCACGCGTGGAATTGGGCGCTGAATGTCGAGAACTAGCCACGCCCACTTTACCGTTGACGCCTCTGGACTCGATAGATGCACCGAGTAAGTATAACGTCACCTTTGTTTTTTATTTTATTTATTTAAGTAATTTCCACTTTTTACCTCAATTACTTACATAATATAACATTAAATAGATAATTAGCAAAACTTCTATAGACAGATGTAGCGTGTAAAGTTATACAGAAAAAGGCTAAATTGTAGAAAAACATTTTTTTCTTTAAATAGTTTATTACTATAAATATACAAGGAGGAAATGAGTGAAATAGTCAGCTGATAGTGTAGACTGAACACGCGGTCTTCTACCCCCAATAGAAAATATTAATATTAATAGATAAACAATTATATGACATATAAACAATTATATTTCGTTAAAATACAGAGCATAAATTAAACTGAGGGATAACAAAGGGTTGCCAAGTTTTTGGGAAAGGCCAGCTATATATCAATTAAACCTTGTTCGTTTTAAAATTTTCAAACGTTGATCTATGTAATTTAAACTTCGATGATTATTTATGCTATAAAGCATAAGAAATTGTACTTCATAACGTTAATGTAACGGTTAAAATTTAATTGTGCGAGAGGTACATATATCAATAGGATCTCTGTAGATGGCGGTTCAAGTCTCGCCCGTGTCGTTAATTTTTTGTTTTTTTATTATTGATATATATATATGTATCAGGAAATAATAATTAGTTTAAGAATATAATTGTATGCAAAAATTAAAGAATCCTTTTTTCCTTTTAGGACAAGCGATGTCGCTCCTGGTCCCCGACACGTCGTATTCGTCATCCGAAGGCGAGGATGACTTTTATGACGCTGATGAGGAACCACCGTCGTTGGTACAGCCGGGTCCGAGGTAAGTTATATCGTGATGTGTTTGTTACGTATCTAATTAAGGTAACGCGTAAACTAGGCTTGCGTTCTGAACGGGGGGCGGTTGGGTTTCTGCCCCTGCCCGACCGATACAATATCAATCTAAACAATACCACAGTAGTGTGGGCCACATAGAAAAGTGTCCTTAAAACTTTAATCTTTAAGATCTATGTAGACAAGTTTAATAAAAGAAGCATACGTCGAGCGAACAACAATTCCTATGACTAGAGGTAGGGAAGACCGAAGACGGTAAGTAAAATAACTCGCCCACCTTTAACTGAAAAGGACGAGTAAATTGAATAGTTATGTTCCACTACTACTTTATTATTATGGAAGATAGGTAATACATAAAAACTTATATATACACTGTATTCGATTAAAAAAAAATAATAACTTGGCCAGAAGCTGATGGACATACCATGACTGTATCTAATTCTTCATCTAGAAATCTATTAAAATTAATAAAAATCGACAACACTGACGGGCCTTGAACCAGTATCTACAGCGTTACTGGTAAGCAATTGAGCTCCGTCGATTTTTTTAACCGATTGATACACCTATGTATTGAGGTTCGACGTCTTATGCTTTGCACCCAGTGGCATAGCTATCGTTGAGCCAGGCGGTGCAGTGCACCAGAGCCCCGGAACTTAGGGGCCCTCTAAACCAACCTGTGAGAGATATAAGCGTAGAAGAAAATATTTTTTTAACGTTCTTGTTGCTATGCTAAAAGAGGGGATCATGGCCCGATTCTTTCTTGAGCGTTAGGATTGGATAGCTACGCTACTGTTTGCATCTTAAGAAATCATTGAAGATGGAAATACATAGTTTAACGTTTGAAAGCTTTAATATTTTTTAAATATCTTTTCCTGTCAAATATAAATTTGTACGGGCAGGGTTGATCTGCAGCGGGCCCAACATTCTAATCAATTTATAATTTTTCTGAAACATGTCGGACTTAGGATAGTGGCGGAAATATTAAAATTTCGTCCGGGTCGCAGAGATAAAAAACCCGTCCTGTTTAATTGCGTTTCGGTTTCCCAAAATAGGCCGACAGCGCACCTGGCTTAGATGTTTAATGGCTTATGATTTTCACCTACCATCAAATGTACACCATGTTTGTTCTCATCAAAAACGTCACAACTTTATTCTATTCGGTATTACATATATATCAGAGTAAAATTTCAGGGTTTTCAGTGGTCTCTTTACACCGCATGAAGCCTGAAATAAACACGCCATCCGTTTAACGTTATATTTATCTTTATTTCTCCGTGAACGCCATTTGGTACGAAACGGATATTATTTTACGAAATAAAACTTTATCTTTGCCCTCTGAGCACGAAACCTCGCGAAATATGAGCTCGTTAAATGACTGCTAAGGGTCGACACTATAGGTTGAGAACACAAAGGACTATAGAGCGTTTTAGTCCCATTTATAAAATACTAGCTGTGCCCGCGACTTCGTTCGCGTAGATTAGTGACTTGGGGTAAAATTTTTAATTATTTAGGCTGTTTATTAATTTAGGTAAGTGCGCATCTATCGCTGCCAATCTATGTTGTTAGTGCTACTTTGCCGCAACACTCTCATCTCACATCACCCCTACTCTCTCATTCCAACCCCCCCTCCTATCCCCAAAAATCCAAAGTAGAAAGTTTCATTATTCTAACTTTAAAAAAACCACGAATTTCCATACAAACTTTTACCGCTATCGCGTCCGCTCTCCATATTCTCGCTCTGTACCCCGTAAGGGTCGCTGACAGAGAAGCCGGTCAAAGCCTCGCCTATCCGCCACTTAATGAAATTGATTTCCTGACCGTTTCCAAGGGATGTCATCAAAAAACATAACTTCATGAACATATTTTTGTCTTTCCGTTGTACTGTTATAATATTTATTACAGCTTTACTAGTCATAATACGTACCAGAAAAACTAGAAGACATAAAAACTTACGTACTAACTTATTAAATAAAAGACGGCTTTATCGATAAGCAGCGATATATTCTAGGCAACCTAATCCATGTTTGCTGAAAATTTCGACATCGGGTCATGATTAAATTTAGTTATTCGCGTTTTAAAAGATGTGGCATTTAAGGTTTTTTTTCTAGTTGGATTCTGTCTACCTTGGTCTCTTATTACATAATAAGGGTTAGAACACAAACTAACCCTACTTCTCTCTTATTTCAAACATACTAATCATGGCGAACATTAAGCTGTATCTCTATCAATAATAACCTATATAAAATATATGAATTTTGGATATCTATTGCAGTGAGTCACATAAACGAATTGACAGATTTTGATAAAATCCGTTGCATTATATTGTATATAATAGTCCGTATACAAGTTTAAACGTGGTGCATAGCATTATGCACGAGAGCTCTTGAACTTGAAAACCTGTGAAACAATTGCTTCGGTCGGACAGGGCACAGAATTCTGTTTAACTTGCCTGTTACCTCTTACTAGCAATACAGAAATGCCTTACATGCGGAGACGGGCGATAATTATGTATGTGGTGTTTACCCGTTAAATTGTTTACCTAAAATAGTGTTTCCTAGATTACCAGTGTAGCATTGTACCGTATTCGGTCTAATGTAGAATTCATCTCCGATTGGCGATCGCCAAAATAGGTTCGCATCGATTTTACCGAATTTAGCTCCAGATGTCCGTAATTTCATTTCGGACTACATACGTAGATAGAAATTTATTTTCGTTTGAAATTTCCATTTATTTCCGTACTCTGCCAACAAATACTAGTAATAGTTTAAAATAATTTTACTTAAATTAATGTTGTTAGATCATCGTGTAATAAAACAAAGGATGTATTTTGAATTTCGAATTTAATGTTGGGATGAAATTTGCATAAATTAAAATCTATTAATTATACTGTCTATAGTTTACGCGAGTAGTACACATACTTAACGCGATATATTAGTTAAACTAATATATCGCGTTTTAAACCGTTAAAGTGTTTTATTTAAATTAAAATCTATTTCGATAAAAAAAATAGGACTCGGGCGGAACTTGAACCGGCATCCACAGCGTCCCGTGCCAGTTGAGCTACAGTGTCTTTATTTTTTATATAATGCCGTCATGTGCAATTTTAAAAATTATAATTTTTAAATTAATCTTTACTAGTCCACGAAGCTAAAATAAGGTGATGCAAACCATATAACATCTAAACAAGACGCGCTGTTGGCTTATTTTAACTTTTGACAATTAGAAGTCCACAAACTATTATAAATTGGTTATATATAATACATACATTGAGGTACGCGGCTTTTCCATCTGTGTCGTGACCAGGGTGAAATTTCGATGTTCCTATTTTCATTCAATGTCCAGACTTTCCAGACGATGTCAAACATGTTTCGAAAAAAAAAAATTGGTTCAATAATTTTGTAACTTCAGCGAGGGTTCAACTAATCAAACGATGGCTATTAAAATACATCAATTTAACAGTATGTCAAAGATTTTCGCCAAAATTCGTCAAGAATTAAATTTCTCTTATACAAGGTCATGATTGCTTAATTGCCAGTCTAACAGTCGCCTTGTTGCCTGATTCCTAATTTCACTTTACAACACGGTCTAATCGTCCTTGGGGTCGCGTCCTCGGGACGGTTCAAGGGCGCACTAATGGTCTCAACGTTTTGCTAATGAAAGGAATGTTCGACGCTATTAGTAGTAATAACTTGGAATTGCGCGTAAAGAACAACACGTCATGTATTAAAAGTACTATTGTCAAATATATATTTGTATGGCTAATAATCAACGGGTCGGGTTCGATCGCCATTGGATCTAACATTTTTTTAGCTAATTCATATTTTTTTTAAACATCTGAAAATCTGGATTTACTTGGGTGGTGAGGAACATCGAAATTCCCTCCTGGTCACGAGCTCCCGTAACAGACAAGAGTTAATCGCTTTTGGCGGCCGTGGGTTTCTGAACATGCAAAGCCAATATAGATGGACAGCAATTTGTAAACGTTATTTAAGTAATTATTCCATCTATAGTCTTACAAAAAATATTTGTTAATACAGCTTGAGTTCAAAACATTGACTGGTATACTTGTAGTTGTTTTATAAAAATTAACTTTTTATCTTGTTAACATTGACAGACATTGCGACAACAGAATATTAATATTATTTTGTGTACATCCATTTCCACTCGTGACATTGAAGTATTAGTAACGTGCTTTTTTCTTTTTTTAGTACAGTCTTAAACTTCTGTTCGTCCGTCCTATACCTACAAAATAGAACAATTAATAAATATCTAAAGAGCGCCATTCACCATTTCTTAGATACTGCCAAACAATCTTATTTACATTGAAGTATTAGTAATATTGGTCAAAGATACATCATATTGTTATTTGGGAGGAGGGATGGGGGATCTGGACACTGTCATTATATACACCTCTTATATTTGTAAGCATCGTTAAAAAGTTCGAATTATTTATAAACAATGCACAAATGTTTGATGATATAGCGCAGCGCCGCATCGGCTTGCAGACGACGTAATACTTTCATTTTGTCATAGATAAGCTAATGGCAAGATATAGTAAAGTGGTGTTTGCGTAGCTGTAATTATGTAAAACTTAAACTAGATTTTGTAAACAAATTTGCTTTCATAATAGACTTCACGTCTATATTATTAAATGGTTTTAAATGTCAATTAACTACATTTAAATATTTTGTTACATTCTGAAAAATTAAAAAAAAAAACTATTTTTTTCTTTCTCTAACATGTCTTATATCCAAACACTAAGTCTTTTTGGATTTCGTGTCTGCCTAACTTATTTGTTGTTCTACTGACAGCGGTGTAGTCAGCGTAGATACGATGTGGTCGTGAATTCGAATTAGCCCGTTTCATCGAATTTTACAATAGTTGAAAAGGTATCCAGTTCCGGTTTCACGGAAAAATAAAATGTATATGTTTTTACTTGATACGATTTTAAACATCCAATTGTCGATTCGATGGTACCTTCTACATATT